CAGCAGTGTACTTCGTTGATCTACCTGTTCTGCTCCCCACTCCATCTCTGGTGAAGCCTCTCGCTGCCCCTGAGCCTCTGGCCTGTACCCCAGTTCTGTATGAACAAATAAATAAATCTTAAAAAAAAGAAAAAATGTGGTACATATACACAATTGAGCATTACTCAGCAACCAAAAAAAAGAAACACATGTCTTTTGTAGCAACATGGATGGAGCTACAGAAGATCATGCTTAGTGAAATAAGCCAGAAAGAAAAGGAAAAATACCGGATGGTTTCATTCATAGCAGGAGTGTAACAGGCCAGGCCAGGCGAGAAAGTAATAATAATGAACAGTATATACCAGAGACATGTTATGGGGGTGGGGTGGAAAATGGGATGAAGAACAGTAGGTGGAGGAAAGTGCACTGGACTCAGGTGATGGCACATAGGTGATGTGGTGATGGGAAACCCATGGGGATTACAACTGAGACGAAAAAATTCACAAAATGATATAATATACTATTTAAAAAAAAAGTAATAGGAAAGAACGGCATTATATGTGACTGGAAAGACAACCAGAGTTCAGATTATACAGAGCATGTCAGTCATAATAAGGAATCTGAAATTTATCAAAGTGCAAGTAAACAATTTCAAGTAGAATGACATGAATGAACTTAGCTTTATAAAGGCAGCTCTATATGAGAGACAAAATGAATGAACTAAGGTTGGGGGATTTATAATGGACATAGATGGGTAAATCTATGATTATTTTTGAAAGTACTTTGCTGTAAAACTCAAAAGGAAGTAGCACAAATATAAAATATTTCCCATTTCCATTAAAAAAAATCCTATTCATAATTGCACCATTCAGCAAAATATTTAGTAATAAATTTAACAGAAGATATACCAGACATCCCCCCCAAATCTATTAAAACATTCTGTGAAAAATTAGAGATAAGTTAAATAAATGGAAAGGAGTACCGGGGGTACCTCCTTGGTGGGGTGCAATGGGTTAAAGCTCAGCACTGCAAGCTAGCCACAGCAGCATTGCTTCAGCGAAAGTTAGACCCCAGCTGGAGGTGATCCACAAGGTATAGCTGATCTCTCCTGTCTAGCCCACTGCTCCCCTCAGCAGTGTACTTCCTAGACCTGCCTGTTCAGCTCCTCACTGGTCTTTAGTGAGGCCTCTCACCACCCCTGCACTTCTGGCAGGTATCCCAGTTCTGTAAGCATAATTAAATAAATCTTTTAGAAAAAGGTGTACTACATTCATGATTGAAATCTTCAAGGTTGTGAAATATCACTTCTCCATAAGGCAATTTATAAATTAAATACAATTCCAGTCATAAGCCCAGCAAAATCAAAATTTGGAACTAACAAGCTTCATGGGGAAACAATGAAAGTGAGACTGTATGTATTAACTAATTTCAGATACGTAAAGTACTTAGTGGGTTTTTTTTTTTTTTAAAGATTTATTTATTTATGCATACAGAACTGGGGTATAGGCCAGAGGTGCAGGGATGATGAGAGGCCTCACCAGAGACAGAGTGGGAGCAGAACAGGCACACCGATGAAGTACACTGCGGGGGGGAACAGCTGGTGGGTCAGGAGGGATCTGCAGCATGATGCTGATCACCTCCGGGCAGACAGGGATCGAACTCATGCGGAGGTGGCTCTAGTTTCTCAGTGCTGTGCTTTACCCCACTGCCCCACTGGGGAGCGCCCTACTTAGTGGTTTTTAACTGGGCAATTTTACCCCTTAGGGAACATTTGGCAATGTCTACACAGATTTTTAGTTACAATCAAGCAGGAAGAGGTCAGATACTACCAAATATTCCTTAACACATGAGATAGCCCCTCAACAATCTGGTCCACTATTTTGATAATGCCAAGCTACAATAAAGACAATGTGGTATTTATATCAGAACAGCCAAAGAGTTTAATGGGACAGAATACAGATTCCAGAAGGTGACCCCTTATGCAACAATTCAATGGAAAAAGTGATTTCAACAGAAACTTCTATAACAAGATATCCTTATCCAAAAAAAAAATGAACTTGTACCATCTCATACCATCTACAAATTTAGTTCAGGATGGATCACAGACCTAAATAGAAAGCTAAAAGAAAGCATAAAAGAGTATCTTTACAAGCTGGCAAAACTTAAGAAAAACTTAAACCAGAATGAATAAAAGACTCCTACTACCTAGTAAAAATTAAACTCAACTTAAAATTGGTCAAAAAACTTGAACACACCAACTTCACAAAGACGTAACACATGAAAAAGTGGCCAAAACCAATTTTTCAATTTAACACAGAAAATTAAATACAATTTAATCCCACAAACTACACACCTATTGTGATAACTAAAATTTATTAGTCTAAAACCACCAAGGTTATTAAAAATGTGAAGTTAGCCAAACTCTTACATTACTGACGTATGGGTAAAGTAACACAAAAAGCTTTACCATTTCTTTAAAAGTTAAGCAAACACCTATTATTTGATACAGTAATTCCAATACTAAGTTTTTACCCAAGAGAAATAAAACCATGTCTACAAATGATGATACAATAAGGTTCTACTTTATTCATAATAGCCAACATGTGTATCAATAAGCAAAACAAATTATAGTTATATTAATACAATAGACTTATTTAGCATTAATTAAGAAAGATATGCAACAACCTATCAAAAATATTATGTGAAAAATTCAGTCACAAAGAGTAGTTACTGCATGATACTTTATATATGATATTCTAGAGCAGGAAAAAAAAAAAAAGAACAGGACAGCAAGGGCCTGCTCTCCTAGAGGAAAGAATGTGGATTAGATGGAAAAGGACATACTGACCTTACTGGGCTAACAAATGTCCAATATCTTGAATGAGGAGTGTTAAATGTAAAGTAAACATTTAACATTTAAAGCAGGTAAGTTTTGTGTATAACAATGTATGCAAATTTTCTTCTAAAAAACAACTACTTTAGTAGTTCAGAAGTACTAAACAACTACTTAGTACTTCTGAAACAAAAAAATAGCAAAGTATCAATTGTAGAGACTAAGTGAAAAGCACATGAAGGTTTATTATACTATTTTGTTTACTTTATACAGTTTTGTGTCACTTAACTACTGCTTAGTCAACTACAAAACACAAACACAACGTTCCCAGTAGATTATAACATAATCTAGGTGTGTATTACGCTGTATCATTTAGGTTTGGGTAATTACACTTTAAGAAACTTCACAATGATGAAAGCACCTATTCATTTCTTAGAACGTATCTACATTATTATGCTATGCTGTACACTGTTTAAAATTTTCAAAAATTAAGTTTCTAAAAATAATTTCTCTTAATTTCCTCAGTGAAGGAAGATAATTGGTTACCATTATATTTCATATAAATTAAAATCTGGGCCCTCCCTGGTAGTTCAATGGGTTAAAAGCATAGCACTATGAAGCTACCCACAGCCACTAGCACAAGGCCAATTCCCAGCCAAGGAGGTGATCCACATGGCGTGGCAGACCTCTCCTGCCCAGCCCACTGACACCTGTTTCCCATTCTGTCTTTCATGGATCCTCTACCCCCACACCTCTGACCTATACCCCAGTTCTTATATGCATAAATAAATCTTTTTAAAAGATTAAAGTATTCAAGAAATTTCCTTTCTATGCTTAATAATTGCTATCCTTTACATTTTCTTTACCCTTATTTAATAGGTATAGTTCAACCTTGAAATATTAATGTTTTCTTATCTCTTAATTATAACTATTTATAGAAAAAAAGGAGAGCTCCTTTAAACTGTATTACACACTTAGCAGTATATGCTACCTACCTTGACTGTATTACTCAACTTAAAACTCTAAAACTGAATTTAGTATCTAAACTTTTAATCATATTTCCTGATTTATTACTTTTTTCCCATCATGAGAATTTATATTCAATGGCAACAGGGATCTTATCTTCACTATCTCATTAGCTGTAACATACACAGCATACATGGTAATATGTGTACATCAAATTAAAGAATGTCAGAATTCATAAATACCTATTTTAGCTATAACTTTGGTAATAAAAACAGCTGACCACTCACCTTGTTTTACTTAAATCTTACTGGCATCTATACCTATTTTTGTTATTTGTTTCGAGTGAAAAGAAAAAATGTGAGAATTTTATTTTCTCCTTATTTGATATATTCATAAAACTATTTTAATATAGTAAATCAATTTACTGTATATGTTATTGTATCTCTCAATGACATATGTCCAAGATGCAGCACTGCTTCTTCTGCTCTTGACCAAGAAGAAATTTTCAATTTCAAAATGCTTATATCACCATAAACCTAAAATCTAACAAACACTGAGAATTTAAGAGTTTCTTAGAGGAGTAAATTGCCAAGTTATAATTTATAATAAAAACAATTTCAATTCAAAGGAATTTATCTAATAAAGGAAGCGTCTACATAAACCTACAATCAAATTGATAGTTTTTCTCAATGCAGAAAATCTCAGAATAAACTCCTCAGTAACCACTAGGGGTGTGGCATATGAATAAGGAGAATTAGATTTCTACCTCAACTTGAATAATTTTCTCATTCACAAATATTCTCAAAACAATAAGAAAGGTTAAAAAGGGGGTGAGGAGAGAACAACCATGGGCTGTTTCATAAAATACAATATCAAGTAAAACTGCCGTTAATAACAAGGTAACTGTACAACCAAATTTTTTGTCAATTAAGAAAAATGTCCAAGAAATTGGTAATTACAATTTGTCTACATTCTAAGGGAAAACCCAAGAGACAAAGAAACATCAGAGAAAGAAAGAAAATCACTCACAAAGAATGACATTTTACATATAAAATTTTATTAAGACACTTCACAATTTTCTTACATATCTTTTGCCACAGATTCAAATCCATTTTATGTTCATAGGTTATACATAACTTTAAAAAACACTTAATTCACTGGGCTTAAGAACAGAAGTTTCAAAGTAAATACTCATTTAGAGACACCAGCAAACAGATCTGACCTTTTCAAGTGGCTTCCCCAAAGAATTTCCAATCAGTTTCCAGTCATTCAAGACCTCTTCAACCTTGGAAATAAACCTAGGAAGGAGGAAAAGTAAATTTTAAATATGCAACAATACATTTTTTCCTTTTGTTATACAATTTTATTAAAAGGTATTTTTTATGTCTTACCATTTTTATCAGATACTGCTCATTAGTTTAATACCATTAGTTTAATCTTGTGATATGGAGTAAAACCAGAAGTAATCTTTACCCAAAAATTCTTAGATTTTAATTTTTTTAATCTAATGCGTACCAGACAAAGGCATTCTACATTCTACCTTCTATAATATATAAATTAGGGGTTGCTAAATCGATACATTAAAATGAAAACTACATTTGGGACAGAAGTAAAAACTCACAAGCTAAAATGATAGTATAAATGTTAATTATGAAACTAACAATTTCTTTCCTGCACTCAAAATAGCTGTGCTATCTAGCTTAACTTTTCCTTTAATGATATTTAGGAATTTGTGATTACCCATTTCTCCCCTCAAGAAAATATCATGTGGGAACTTTTCTCACCAAAATAAGACAAGTTTTAAATAGCTGACAAGATCTGCAAGTATTCAATAGATTTAGTCATAAATTATGTAATCTTTAAATTTAAAGGTCAAGGTGACTTATCAAAAAGAATGAATTCTGACCAGTAACATGGTCATTATCAACAAGTGAAACTGTCAAATCTCAGCAGTACTGTTAAATACATGAAAAGGCATATTTAAAAGATTTACTAATCTATTATGCTAACTTCCTTTCAGTATGATGCAATCTATCATCAACATTGCTCTTCTAAAATACCTATATCACATTGCAAAAGTACCAGCATTAATTCTAGTCAAAATATATTCAAAGGCATCAGGTTTTTTTCTTCGGTGAGAATATAAATTAGTAGTTACATTTCTGTTGAAATCCAGTAAAGACCATAATGATAATACAGAGCTTTTGATTCAACTGAACATTATAATTAACTCATCTGTAAAATTAAAGGCTACATTAATTAACAGTAAATTTAGTTTGAAGGTTCAAAAGGCAATTATCAGTTTTGAAAATGAGTACTCTAAAACTAAACATTGATATGTTTACCAAAAAAAATTTTAATGTATATATGAACAAAATCTGCAAGCTATATAAATATGGTATGGTATAAAAAGTTACAACACACACACACAAATTACAAGGAATTTTCTTCACATATTAATAATAGCTATCTCCTGATGTATTAGGATTACAGGTAATTTTTCCTTTTTTTCCCTCTATAACAAGGCATTATTATTATAAAAACAATTTTCATTTTCACAGTAAAAAAGGAACAACTATTTTATCAGTACTACCGAAAAGTGAATTAACGACTCTATGCTGCTAAGTACTGAGATTTGATAAAAACTTGAAAACTTTATATCTGAAAGTTCTCCAGATCTTAGTCATTGTCTGACTCCTCATTCTATTCCTTTATGATAGACTTTAAAACACCAAATTTCTTTATCTTCTTGGTTATTATTTCTACTGTAGCTACAGACTTTGTATTAATACTTGACTAGTGTCTATTTCTTCCATTAGTTTATACATTCACTAAGAGTGGAAATGGTCTGTTTTGATTGACTACCACATCCCTAATGCAACCTATTGTGCTTGACAAATGGGCACTCAATATATATTTTCAATGGACAGAGACAGTTAAGAAATTCCATTTAGACGTCTAAGCTGTCTTTATGGCTTATTATGACCAGAACTTTCATTTACTATCTAAACTCAGGTGGCCTCCCTAGTAGTGCAAGAGGTTGAGACTCAGCACTACAAAACTATCCACAGAAGCTGAATGACGTACAAGTTCAATCCTTTGCCAGGGAGCTGACCCACATGGCACAGCAAACCTCTCTTCTCTAGCACTGTATTTCAGTCAGTCCATTTGTTCTTTTCCCTGAATCCTCTTACCCCCAGCCCCCTGACCGCCACACTTGGGTCCTGTACACCAGTTCTTGTATGCATAAATAAATAAATCTTTAAAGAAAAAATCTAAACTCACAGTTTAAGACTTCATAGTCTTTTTCAATTTGCAAAACGCCAGATACAATATAGATAGAAACTAGACCTACTTTGTGATAGTTCTCATAACTGTGTTAACAATTCTAAAGGGTTTTTAAGGTTCTACTTCAGGACATTTTAAATACTAAACTAGGGAAAACTGGTCGATTTCCACTCAGTACACTTACACTTCCTCACTCCCACACTCTAAACATCAAGTCACATTTTTCAATCTTCCAAAATCAAGTTGTATTTCAAATCCAACAGGTGTAAAAACTACTTTCTTTACCAGTTTTTTACTTTTATTCAGGCAAAAACTGCAGTTTCATGTTTGATTCTTTCTACTCTTGTATTTCATCAAATGTACCTATCTAAAACCTGCTTAAAATTTCATACAATCCAGTGTCTTATCTTGCTTTTTTCTCCAGATCCCTAAGTAGGATCACAGTTAAGTGCCTCACCTTCATTTTATTCCACTTCCTGAAGCAACTCTCACCACTCTGCCATTCTAAAATCCAGGGTTTCTCACTGATATTCTTTCCTGGCTCTAAGTGTATTCTCCAGATCAGCAGCATCACTTGGAAACTTGTTACAAATACAAATTTTGGGGTCCACTTCAACCAAGAATATGAAACTATGATTCTGATATACACTTCACTTTGAGAATCACTGGTTTTAAAGTCCCAAATCGAGATTCCATTAGTTATCTTTGGAAGTTGTCCATAACCAGGACCTACCTTCTTTATTAAACTTAGTTCCTTTAAACAGTTACCACAGCAAGAAAAATGTCAAAGGTTAATTTTCAGCAATCTCAGCTCATGTTGGTACTTTCTTATGCCTACTCAGCCACTGTCAAGGTCCAGCTCACTTTCTTCTCTTTTTTTATTAAATTTATAGATCTGCTTACATTGCTTGTCATTTTAAAACAATGCTTACTTTTCCCCTACCCCAATTCACCTGTGCATCTTCACCACAATCCTCCACATTCCTTCCTTCCTCTATTCTTCCCATTCCAGTCCCTTCCCCTGTAGGATCTCTGATTTATAATTGCTTGTTTTTGTTGCCTTGTTTTGTATTGTAATAATGATGCAATTTTCCCCGACTTATTTTGTTCTCTTATATTCCTCCTATAAGTGAAACCATTCAATATTTTTCTTTTTCCTTATGACTTATTTCACTGCACTTGACCCTTTCTAGCTCCGCCCATGTTGCTGCAAATGGCATGGGTTTATCTTTTTGATTGCTGAGTAGTATTCCATTGTAGATATATCTATGTTGATCTGATCATTTAATCTGGGGCATTTCGGTTGCTTCCAGGTTTTTCCTATTGTAAATAGTTCCAGCTCATTTTCTATGAAAGTATTTCCAATTGTAATCCACAACAGTTATCAATTATTTCAAGTGCCTTTTTAAATACAATTAGTACCAGCTGACTTACATTTAAGTATTTGCTCTTTTGCTTGTTTTTTAAACTTAAAAAAAATTGTTTTGTTTTCATTCCTTTCCATTGGTATAGCTCTGGACACATCATATCTACTCCATAAAGCCTTGCCAGTGTGGTTATGTATACTAACTTTGCTATTTTGGGGAGGATATGCAATGTCGAATTATTGGAGCAGGGATGTATATTTATATTTATATCCACAATTACCTCTCCCAACCTGGAATATTATAAAATGTTGCAACACGTTAACTACTGATCTCCTCACCAGGAAAACTGCGGTGTCTCTGCGATGCTGAACTCGGGCTACGGGAAAACTTCTCTTCTCTATCTAAACTATCTCTCTTCCACAAACTTTCAACTCTTTTCAGTTATGTAACCGGTTCTCTCACACTGCTATTCGAAAGAGTTTGATAAGCACTGGAAGCCTGGGCACAATACCCACTGAAATGTAACAACTTCAATCAGAGTGTTCCAAAACCACAGGCAGAGTATTTTAAAAGGTTATTCTTTTATGTGAGAATGGAGGGAGGGAGGCAAACAACAAAAAACCACCAGTACTCATGGCCAGAAGAAAAGCCCCCTCTAAAAAGTATGGGCAAGGAAGGAAGAAAAAAGCATTTGCCACGATTTCTACTGCTTAGGCTATTAAAATGAGTTAAACGGAAATAAAAACAGGAACGGAAGTAATAGCCAGGGAATTATTTCTACGTGTGGAAAACAACCAGGAAATCAAAGATCTGAAGAAAGTGATATCAGAGTAGGGAAAACAAAACTTTTCCTGGGAGCTAGAATCTCGGGTGTTTGTCTGATGGGGGCGGACCATGACATGTCAGACCCGAGAACCGGGAAAAGGTTAGCAGCTGACCAAAGAAGGAAAGCGGTGGAAACACAAGTGCTTCTGTCAGGTCTTAGTCCGCAGAAGCGGCGTCACCTGTGATCTACCTATATTGGGAAAGCTGCTGCCTAATGTCTGGGCCCAAATATGCAACTCACTCACCTTTCCCATTCCGAGGCAGTAGTGAAATCGGTGAGCTCAAATACCTCGGACTCGGGCTACGAGAAGGAGAATGAAAGAAAGGTATTAAATCCGTGGTCGCTGACGCGGAGGAGCGAGCTCACAGATACGAATAAGTAGGAAGCAAATAGCTCACCTCACTGTCGGCCGCCATCTTGAGAAGCGCCGGGGGCGGGCGCTAGGGCTGCCGGGAATTTGAGCGAGAGCGAGGGGAGGGAAAGGAGGGATGAGAGCAAACGGGGTGGAGCCTCGGTACGGCCCGCCCCCCATAGGCACGGCCCCATGAGTGATCCCGCCTGGAAAAAGCTTCTCAGGTGGAAATACTATATTTTTAAAAATGCTTTGAATTTGAAAACTTCCGGTAGAGTAATGAATTCATGAAGGAAGCAGAAGCAAGTAGGCAAAGCAAGGTAGGGACTCATGTGGTCAAGTTTTTAAAAAGTGGAATACATTCCTGCTTCTTTGATATGGGAAGGCTGTGAGCTAATACCCACCTTTCCCCAAACCCCCTTCTGAGAACTTAACACGGTTTGGTTAAGTCATGAAATATCATCATTCTGCTAGTAATCCGGTTTCTGGGAAGAGCAACATGCTGTTCAGTGAGCATATCACCTTTTAAGACGTTCAGAAACGAAAGAAGTGCCAGCTGACAGAAAATATATATATGTATATATATAATATATATATATATATATATACTGAAATATTTGCAGAGGAATTAATACCATCCAGGATGTTCTCGAAAATAATGGTAGAAATGAGGATAAAAGAAGATAAACTCTAAATGAATAATTGTTTAAACTAGTAATGGGTTCATATTATTTTTTCTACTTCTGTTAGGTCTGAAATTTTTCAAAATTGCCGGTTTAAAAAAATAATCTCCTTGAATGAGTTTTTACGACTCGTCAAAGGAATTTAAGGTAGACCTATTTCTAAAAATTAAAAATTATATCTTAAAAAATGAAAAAAATTGGGCCCAACCTGTTGGCACGGTTTGCAGCACAGCGTGAAGCTAGGGGCAGCCACTTCAGGGTGAGTTCTATCTGCAGCCAGGGAGGTGATGGGATATAGAGCCCCAGACCTCCCCTGTCACACCAGCTGCTCCTCTCAGCAATGTACTTCGCCAGGCTGTCTATTCTGCTCCCCACTCTGTCTCTGGTGAATCCTCTCACTGCCCCTGCACCACTGCACAGAAGAAGAATCAATGGTTAAATTAGAAAAATTAGGTAGAAGGTTAGAAAAATTTCGACAAAGACAGTTGTTGCTAGTACCTTGTCCGGAACTCCTCTGTCTCTTTTGAACCTTCCTTCTGGGTTTCTGTCCATTACAGTGTTGGGAGGCTGAGGGTTACTACTTTTTAAGAGGTGTTCTGCTTATACCTTCATTCATTTAGAAATATTTATGAAATGCCTACTAAAAGCATTTCATAAATATTTATGAAATGTTATGAAATATTCATATATTTATATTTATGAAATGCTATATGAAATCACTATGCTAGTCTTTAAGAAACTGAAAATTGCTGCACAAACCAAAACAAAAAAAGTGCTGTATTTGTCAGTACCATGAAGGTCAATGGTAATCTTGCCAAAAAGAAACATAGAGGAAAATTGAAGGACAAGATGGAGGCAGCCAGGTTAGGACTTACAAGGCTCCTAGACAGATGAAATATGCATGTCAGAAGTTGAAAAATCTGACCTGTCTAATGAACTAAAAGAGGACACTTAAGAGCACAGTGTTTGGAATAAAATTGGAGAAGTAGACATGGGCCAGATCATTTATGGCCTTCTAGGCCAGGGTTGGACATTGTGTAAAGCACAAGTCACTCAAAAGTTTAAGCAAGAGAAATAGGAACAGCTGAAGACATTAAAAGCATCCAGTGAGAAATGGTGTGGAGGCTTTCACTGGAACAGTCAGCAGATAAGGTGAACTGATTTGATATAGACTTGATGATGAATTAAATGCAGAGATAAGAGAAAAGTAGGTACCAAAGCTAATTTTTAGCATTCTGGCCTAAGCAACTGTGTAAGGATAATGCCATTTCTGAGATGAGCACTGGAAGCAAACTAGTGTTTGTTTTGGAAAATGTTAAGTTTGACAGGCTTATAAAATATTCAAGGGGAATTGCAAGGAGATAATTGGGACTAGAAATAGGACTCAGAAGCAAGACCCAGAGTGAAGACATAAATTTGGAAGTTTAGATGGAATTTAAAATCACAAGAATATAATTTAAGAAAAGAATATAGAAAGAAAAGAGGAGACTCAAATCAAAACCTGAAAAAATTTTTATAATGAACAAAGGAGGAGTACCCAGTGAAGTAAAGAAGAAAGGAGCATTTAGAGTAAAGGGAGGAAAACAAGAAAGAGTGTTAGCACAGAACCCAAGAGGAGAAAGCTTTAAGGTAGGAGAGGTTGATTATTTGAAGAAAGCAAGTGAGAGATTTTTATTTGACTTTATGGCAGAGAATAATAGAGAGATTGCTAATAAAGGGGCATTGAAAGAGTTGAAGTTCTTGATAAGGTGAGAACAGAGAAAATTTATACAACTGGTGGTCATACAACTCCAGGAGAAAACATTCATGCTACATTCTGAAATCTTGCTTCAGGAGTTAACCACCCACAGAAAACAACTTCTAAGAGTGTCCCTGGCCAGCACCCTTCCCCCATCTCTCATAGAATGCTTTGTGTCCCTAGACAGTACCAGGAATTCAGAACATCTATAGCAAGAGGGAATGAAAGAGGTGGTAAGGCTGATTATTTCTGAGAAGAGATGTAAGGGGGAGAGGAAGGGGGGGAGGGGAGAAGTTAAATACAAACATAGGGAAACAGGTACATATAAAAGGGAAAGTTACTTGTTACCTTAACATTTTAAGATTTCCACTAAGTGAAATAAAGTCAAACAAATCCATGTTCCATGTTCATCCATTCATTAAATATATGACTTTGGACTTTAAATTACTAAACTCTAAACCTTAGTTTTTCATTAACAATGTATAAGACTGTAATACCTCTTATTACAGAGAATTGTGGCAAAGATTAATTACATGTATCTATTTGTATGCAGAGTGAGCACAATGTTCTGGCATGCAGTTGGTGATCAATTATTACAGTAGCATTTATAATAAGTATACTATAAAAACCATAAGATGCTACTCACATGTAAGGCATTATTTTTTTTTCCTCCTTGCTAACCATGAAATTTAAGTACAAACTTAAAAAATCACAAACAAAATGGCCCTCCCTGGTGGCGCAGTGGGTTAAAGCACTGCACTGAAAAGCTAAAGCCACTTCCGCATGAGTTCAATTCCCGCCTGCCCCAGAGTTGACCACATGGCGTGGCAGACCACTCCTGACCCACCCACTGCTCCCCTCAGCAGTGTACTTCGTCCATCTGCCTGTTCTGCTCCCCACTCTGTCTCTGGTGAAGCCTCTCGCCGCTCCTGAGCCTCTGGCCTGTACCCCAGTTCTGTATGCACAAATAAATAAATCTTAAAAAAAAAATCACAAACAAAAAAATCACAAAGACTTCTCTTCATGAAGTTAAATTTCATAAATTGTATGAAACAACCTTACCAGGTTGCTAGGCAAAGTTTTAATTCAAGATATTTTTGGCTCCTTGTCTTTTCCCTGGAGAAACTTTTAAAATAAGTTATTTGTTAAAGCAAAGTGTGAAACCGGGATGCTAATGATGTAAAGTACCCAAGGGAAATACACTTTTATAGATTTTCACTGGTTCACAAAGCAGAAAAGATTTTGTTTCTTCAGTATTAAGAGCTATTTTGCTATTTAAAAGTGAGGGCTTTTCCATGCAAGCATGTTTCCTCTTTGGCATAATTTTCAGTTATTTCAAGGTGTTACCAATAATGGCCACAGGGAAAATTTTGACGCTTAGGCAATTTAAGAGATTAGAAGCCTGGAAAAAATCACCCTTGGTTTAGTCCTCAGAGGAACTGGGGCCATAACAGTTTAATTAGGTCTCAGTGAGAGAACAAACATTGTTTGTGAAAGGAGCAACAACAACGTGCTGGCTTTTGTGCAGGGAGAATCAAGAATTTTCTAAGATGTTGTCTTGAGAACACCCGCAATAGAAGATTCATCTGGAAGAAGAAGACATGCTATAAGAACAGGAAATTCTTCAGATAAAAAGGCTTTAAGTCAGAATTATTGGACACCATTAATTTATTCGTTCAGTAATATTTCTCAAGTATTTACTGTGAGGTCTCTGTACCCAGTCCCAATGAAGGACTCAAAGGACAATAATCCCTGCCCTCAAGATGCTCACAGTGTGTCAGTAAAACAAAAAATTATGATATCATTTCGAAAGAGAAGCATAATGTGTATCCAGCTTCATAAGTCAGTAAAATGAGTGGTAAGTAAATATTCAAGTGACCTTTCAGAACACAAATACAGTATCTTATATTCTAAAAAAGTAGTCCACTATTTCTTGAACTAGAAAGAGGTATAGTTACCAATACGAGAAAAAAAAATTTTCAAAAGAAATGATGCAGTCTTCTCTCATTTACCATTTAGACAGTTATTTCTTCACAATAAATATTTGTTTAAAGCAGCTGAAATATACCTGAAACTGTCCTAAAAGCTGGAAAACAAAAGTGAAAACAAGTTTTCTGCCTTCAGGATGTTTCAAACATAAAATAATTGAAGCTGTGGATGATAAGAACAACAGGTTCCAATTCTTAAGTATGTAATTTGTCTGATAGATTAGAAAGGACAGCACAGTCCCCAACCCCTTCTTTGGAAAGTTCACAGTGTGCCATCTAGTTTTTACATAAGATCTTAGAACTTTTTTTCACTAACTGAAAGAACTTCCTGAAGAGGAACAACAAAAGACAATGTGAAAATTGTGTCTCCCTTCCTTTTGCTGCAATTGATCTAGAAGCAGAACATGCACAGCAAGCGCTACATCACTGCTTCCTTCCATGGGAACTACTTTATAATGGCTGTGTATGTACCTTATCAACTTGCTTTTACTATAAATTAATGTAAATTTAGGATTTCTGTGTTATTTGGTATCTTGTTTTAGGAGTTTGGGACTACTAAAAATACGTTAATGCCAATTCTTTGCTTTACACCATTTTGGCCTACAGAAGGTATCATAGAAACACTCTTTTAGACAAACCTGTAGATGGTTTTTTGTACAAATAAGAATGTGTA